CAAGGCATGTATTTTCAAAAAGCTTTACATTGGTCATTTTCCTTTACATTCTTGGACTTAAAATATTTTACGATCTAACGAGGTGAAATTTTACAGAATGCATTTTCCGTTTTCAAAAAGCTTTACATTTGCCATATTCCTTTACATTCTTGGACTTCGATTATTTTACGATATATAGAAGTGAAATTGATGGCATGCATTTTCAAAAAGCTTTACATTGGCCATTTTCCTTTACATTCTTGGACTTAGATTATTTTGCGATTGAAAGTTGTGAACTTTTATAGTATGCATTTTCAAAAAGCTTTACATTGGTCATTTTCCTTTACATTCTTGGACTTAAAATATTTTACGATCTAACGAGGTGAAATTTTACAGAATGCATTTTCAAAAAGCTTTACATTTGCCATATTCCTTTACATTCTTGGACTTCGATTATTTTACGATATATAGAAGTGAAATTGATGGTATGCATTTTCAAAAAGCTTTACAATGGCCATATTCCTTTACATTCTTGGACTCGGATTATTTTACATGTAAACCTTGACTTGTACATGTACCTTACATGTACCTACGTGTACTTCTGAGTAATTTGTAATTAACAATCAGCAGATGTGAGGCGAAATTACATTACAATAAGATATTCTGATCGATAGAGTATTTGGTTATAAAACCGGAAGTGTTTTCTCTGAGGTCGGCGCGTCAAATTCCATATATGTATTCTACCTTCGATATTAAGTATTGGCCGGTACATCCTCCCGATTAATATCTATCATTGGGTGCTTTCAACACCATGTTTTACTAATGTTATCGCAAAATAGTACATAAAATGAAGGAAATGTTTCAAAGTTAAGAAATTTGATCGGCATTTTACCAAAAGAGCTTCTGCGCATGAGTTCTGCGCATGTCAAAAGCCCGTCAAACTTTCTCATTTCTTTTAACATTTCTCGCCTTTTACACGACTTTCCCACCTGGAATCATACTCTATCATCAAATTAGAAATATAAGGCATAACTTTAGATCGATTTCCAACCATCTCTTGTGAAAGTATTGAAGATGATCGGGGAAAACAATCCCGTCTATTCGAGGGGCTCTCTTGGGGATTTCTTCAATCACTATCAATACTATTGTCTATGCAAGTTCATTTCTATATTAAGCGATCTTTCCTGTATTCTCTCCAATGACATGTGGTTTTTACAATTCTACATGTACTGTACGTCGTGAAAGAACAGAATCCAACAAATACCAAATCTAAAAGTCAAAATAAGTAGGCTAAAGGAAAGGGGACAGTAAAGCGTGGAAATACATGTACAGCATTCTATGAGAGTTCACAACTTAAATCGTAAAATGAGTTAAGTCCAGGAATGTAAAGGAATTTGGCCAATGTAAACCTTTTTGAAAATACATAACATAATAGTTGACAACTTTAAATCTTGAAAAAATCTAAGTCCAAAAATGTAATGGAATATGGCCAATGTAAAGCTTTTTGAAAATGGATGCCATAAAATTTCACTTCTATAGATCGTAAAATATTCTAAGTCCAAGAATGTAAAGGAAAATGGCCATTGTAAAGCTTTTTGAAAATGCCTGAATTAAAAGTTATCTACTTTACATGGTAAAATAATCTAAGTCCAAGAATGTAATGGAATTTTGCCAATGTAAAGCTTTTTAAAAACGCCTGCATAAAAAGTTCACAACTTTGTTTCGTGAAATATTCTAAGTCCAAGAATGTAAAGGAATATGGCCAATGTAAAGCTTTTTGAAAATACATGCCTTAAAAGTTATCAAGTATATATATATAGTATATCCCTTCTATATATCATAAAATAATGTAAGTCCAAGAATGTAAAGGAAAATGGCCAATGTACTGTAAAGCTTTTTGAAAATGCATGCCATAAATTTTACTTCTATAGATCGTAAAATAATCTAAGTCCAAGAATGTAAAGGAAAATGGCCAATGTAACGCTTTTTGAAAATGCATGCAGTAAAATTTCACTTCTATAGATCGTAAAATAATCTAAGTCCAAGAATGTAAAGGAATATGGCCAATGTAAAGCTTTTTGAAAATGCATGCTATAAAAATTCACAACTTTCAATCACAAAATAATCTAAGTCCATGAATGTAATGGAATTTCGCCAATGTAAAGCTTTTTGAAAATGCCTGCATAAAAAGTTCACAATTTTGCTTCGTGAAATATTCTAAGTCCAAGAATGTAAAGGAAAATGGCCGATGTAAAGCTTTTTGAAAATGCATGCTGTAAAATTTCACTTCTATAGATCGTAAAATAATCTAAGTCCAAGAATGTAAAGGAATATGGCCAATGTAAAGCTTTTTGAAAATGCATGCTATAAAAATTCACAACTTTCAATCACAAAATAATCTAAGTCCATGAATGTAATGGAATTTCGCCAATGTAAAGCTTTTTGAAAATGCATGCCATAAAATTTCACCTCATAAGATCGTAAAAGAATGTAAAGGAATATGGCCAATGTAAAGCTTTTTGAAAATGCATTCTGTAAAATTTCACCTCGTTAGATCGTAAAATATTCTATGTCCAAGAATGTAAAGGAATATGGCCAATGTAAAGCTTTTTGAAAATGCCTGCATTAAAAGTTCACAACGTTGCTTCGTGAAATATTCTAAGTCCAAGAATGTAAAGGAATATGGCCAATGTAAAGCTTTTTGAAAATGCCTGCATTAAAAGTTCACAACTTTCAATTGTAAAATAATCTAAGTCCAAGAATGTAATGGAATATCGCCAATGTAAAGCTTTTTGAAAATGCCTGCATAAAAGTTCACAACTTTCAATCGTAAAATAATCAAAGTCCAAGAATGTAATGGAATATCGCCAATGTAAAGCTTTTTGAAAATACATGCCTTAAAAGTTTAAAAGTTCAGTAAGTGGGATGTTTTTAAATTTCTAAACTCGTCATTGTAAAGAAAAAAAGCTTGGGAAAAACCCAGTTTTAGCATGTGGGACCTCATGATATGCAAATAACAATTATGGAAGAAAAATATCCCAATTTTCTGGCTCATATTCTGTTAGCTTTTTGATCATTTTCACAAGTACTCCATTGTATCTCTCAGTCTGACCATTTGTCTGTTGGTCGTAAGGAGTTGTTTTTATTCCATTTATTTTCATCATCTTGTACATTTCCTGCATCAATTTAGAAAGGAAATTTGTCCCTTGATCTGTAAAATCTCTTTGGGAACTCCAACTCTACTGAACTGCTTCATCAATTCTTCAGCTACTTTCTTAGAATCAGTTGTTTTCATTGGTACAGCTTCTGGGAATTTAGTTCCATAATCAGTTGTAACTAAGATATACAGTACTTATTTCCTCTTTTGGATCTTTCTAAGGGACCAAGTATGTCCTTACCTATTCTGCTAAATAGTTCAGTGATGACTGGTAAGGGTATCATCTTGGCTCTGTTTAATAACATTTTCCTCGATGTCTTTTGGCATACATCACAGCTGTTGCAAAATCCTTTTACATCTCTGTGAATGTCTGGCCAAAATATCTTCTTCATGAACATGAAAAGTGTGTTAACATTTTTCATCCATTTTCTAAAAACATCTCTAAAACGTATGGTGAATGGTTTGATTCCCTCTCCATCATCTCTTTGTAGGTTCCGAAATCTACAAATGTTTTCTGTAAGTCTCTTCATTAATAGCATATCACTTAAGAATAGCTTCTTTAACGATTTCATAGTCACTTGCTTCTTCTTGGTCCACACTTGTGTAAGCCTCTTGTGCTTTGCCAGTTAAACTAGGTCCCAACTTCAGAGTCCAATATTCTTTTGGCCATTTACACATTGTAGCTGTCCTTTCAAATATTGTTAGGAAGTTTTCAATGTCATCATTGTCTCTCATTTTGAAATCTCATTTTGGAAATTATAAAGTTCATCACTTACAGATCTCGACGATGTGTTGTTCGTACTGTAGTTCCGCTGCCACCATGCCAAAGAAGCCGTCTACTATATTACCTTACGCAGTCCTCGTTGGTACCTCCTTGCAGGGCGCCCCGGGACGTAATGATTGTCGATGTCGATATTATTCACAATATGTAGAGTATTTCATGTATTGTAATGTTCTTGAAAGTTACTTCTAATTCTAACTTGGTTTCAACTGTGGTCCTAATTATCTTTATCTAATTATCTGCACTTTGTATCTGTGTTTTTGACCTCTATTGCTTAGCCTTACTATTCATAAGCCTATTTGAATTCATAAAAACATTGTGATTTACTATTCACAGCAATTACATAATTTTATATCACAAGGTGATTAGACTATGTGTTGTTACTTGTACATGCACTCATAACAATTGTAAGGCAAACTAGCCTTTGTACATCCCTGTGTGAGAAGTTTTCATACCTGTGTAGTTAAAGTAGTGGTGGCGGGGGGGGGGTCACTACGCTACTGTAGACTACACAATTCCTCTACAGTCACACTAGCATGTAATATGTTTTCATAATAACCAACTGGTGTGCTAAGAAAATTAAAAAACGCACCCATCTGGACGATTTTAGTAATTGCTCATCTATATGAAAGTAGTCTAAAATCCCCCAGGAGCTTCATGAGTGGTAAATCTGATCTGGTTGCACTACATTTGCTGGGATCCATTAGAACCATTAGCAGTAAATGTCAGAGAAGGCCATTATTCATGCTTGATTTTAAAGACTTCACCTTTAAGATTGTCACTAGCACTTGTATCAAATATTTGTCCCTGGCCTTATTCCACACCAAAAAGTGTGCTATAACATGTATGTTAATGGGGTGGGGATTCAAGAGCTTGATTCAAGACTAAATAACTTATTATGTCACCACCTTAAGTAGTGACACATTATTATGGTCACCAACTTTTCTGTGGATGGTGTTCAGTGGTTGGTGTTCTACAGTCTGTGGTTGGTGCTCGGCAGACAGTGTCTGCAGTAAATGGCAGGTGGTGACATTTTGCATGTTAATGCCTCGTATATCAATCTGATTTACTTTTTTGTTTCAGCTTTTTGGAGATTTGTATTCGTAACCAGCATAGCATATGAGCTGGCCTTAGTTTTTGTACTTTTTCAAGTAAGTATAAAATATGACTCAACTTACCATAAATAAACATTAATTAGCCAAGGGATATAATGTTATTGGACTTTTATGACCCTAGTATATATCATTTGAACTTGATTGATAATATGTGTTTTTCACTAATTAATCCAGTAGAAATGAATGACTGAAATGTAATGCTTTATAGTTAATCAAAAATGATTTGCAAATGTAATCTTTGATTCAGAACAATGTTATGAATTATTGTATACTGTAATTATTGTAAACTGTAATTATTGTATACTGTAACTTTAATTAATTACTCCTTATCCTTTGACTGTAATAATGGATGATACACTGATCAGTGCATATGTACTTAGGTATCAGTGCATATGTACCATTCTGAGCACTTTTCAAGTGATTTTAAAGTTGTCAAAAGTGAACCCCCCTGGAAATTTTTAAAAAGTGAACCCCCCTTGGCAAATCCTGGCTGGCTACGGGCCTGGGTGTGTTACAGAATCAATAACCTTTGAAAGGGTAGAATCCATACTTGTATACCTTTGGGATGTTTCGACTAAAGATAGATAATGAAATTATTTTTCCAAGAAATCTAAAAAAAAATTGGTCGATATATTTTGTGTTTTACCGATGAAGTAATTCTCTGAATCCATTAATCACTTACTGGTAGACACCCATGCAGAAAACTTAACTGTGCATTTGGTTTTAAGTGATGTAGGGCTCTTTTTAAGTTGACATTTTTGTGGCACAAGGTCCGTAGCCCCAGGGGGGGGGGTCTGGCCAAAAATTCTTTCAATATCATGCAGTTTTTCACCATTCTGAGCACTTTTCAAGTGAAAAATTGAACCACCCTCCAATTTTTTAAAAAGTGGACCCCCTTGGCAAATCCTGGCTATAGGCCTGCTATGCAATTTATTCCTAAATCCTTGCTGCCTCTAATTATTCCTGAAGCTCAAATGTAAAATTTAAAACTGAAAAATTTCAGAATCCTTTAGCCAATAAAGGAGTCCTTCACACAAAAAGTCATTGGAAAAGCGTTGAATATATATGCACTAGTGCCAACGGGAAAGTACCAAAAATGGTTATAGAGCAGAAACAAGAAATTAAGGCAATTTAAAAAAAATCCCTCTCTTTTACTGATGCTCACTTCTGTTTTCAGACCGCGTATGATGCACGCCAACTGCTCACATTTATAGATAAAGATCTGGGAAAACCACTGATGGAGAAAAGTTTTGGAGGGAATTGTAAATTATACGATTCTGATGTCCCAGATAATCCCTTCCACAATATATGGGTAAGTCCCTGCAGGATTTTGGGAAAGCCTTTGTGACTTAAGGGATGTCAAAAGGGAAGGAAAATCATAGAAGCCTAAAAGGATAAAAACGTTGAATGATCTCGCTAATGGGCATGCCTGTCAGCATGCACCTCCGTGCTTAGAGATTCAGATTCTGGTAATTGTTTATGCGCATGCGTCTGCATGCATACTAACGAGATCATTCGACTTCCTGAAGCCATCTTTAAAATAACCAACTCAATAACATTTTTTACGCAATAAATTTCCTTTACCACTCAGGATAGCGTGATATCATAACAACAATGTTACTTTAGGATGTTATACTGAGATTGAAGTAGTGTAAGTGATTTCACAATTTCTTTCAGAACCTGTATGAGTAACGACAGTTTGAAGATTCTGAATTTTAGCTATGGGAACGATATTTTACCTACATAACCTGAAAATGAAGAAAATCATGAAAAATTGGCAATATTTTGATCAAAATTGTGAAAATGAGGATTTTGCACCCTCTTGCTCTTGGAGTAAATCCTGGGGCTAAATCGCTGTAAATATATTTATAACTGTTCTTTTGTTATTATAGGACAAAATGGATGGCTTTGTCCCAACTCATTTCTTTGGCTGGTGGTTGAAGACGCTCATTATTCGCGACTACTGGCTTTGTATGGTCATCAGTATCATGTTTGAGGTCTTGGAGTACACGCTAGAACACCAGTTGCCAAACTTCAGTGAATGTTGGTGGGACCATGTGAGTATAGCCTCGGCTATGATTTTCAGACAGAATTATTTAAAAGAGTTCATTATTTTGCCAAAATAAATTTTTTCAATTTTGAAAATAAAAAAGTAATTTTAACTTCAGCTTTTTTACCCTAAAGAAAAACATTTGTCATAGTGAAATTTGTGGGCCTTGCATATTTCGCTGAGCCCCGATGCAAGAACACACTAGCGCCAAGATCTGATAAGGTTTTGGCCACTGCTGGGTAAATAACATGGGGGCCATCAGGGCCATCACTATGTGTCTTGCTTTCATTGCATAGAATTCAACTCGTGCATTTATTCTCTTATCTATCTAGTAATGGCTTGACAAACTTCTTTGCTATAGTCCATGAGTTTTTACTATTTCAGTGGATAATGGATGCCATAGTATGCAATGGTCTGGGTATCTACCTTGGTATGAAGACCCTTAAGGTGCTATCTATGAGAAAGTGGTACTGGAGAGGCATGTGGAACATTCCTGGATACAAGTGAGTAATCTTTTTTTATTTCATTTAATTTATTCCACTCTGCAGGTGTCTGAGGGTGTTTTTATATTTTTTGAATGTCACTTTAAAGGTGTTGCAAACATATGTCTCCTCCATCATTGGAATATAAGATCTTTGGATTTTGAGACTTCAGCATGATTTAACTAAAAGGTTAATAGCAAAGTGTCTGTTGAATGACTTCATAATGTTTCTGACAATTTTATATAATTTTGATTCCTTACTAATTGCACTATTTTTTACCATATTTTCCATTTTAGAATATGAGCATTGTGACTTTCTTCCAGGGGCAAGCTATGGCGAGTTTTTCAACAGTTTGGACCATACAGCTGGACAGACTTTGACTGGAGGCCAGTCTCCAGCCTGAAGCGTTGGCTGGCCATGATTTTTATCATCTTCATGGTAAGACCAAACTTAAAGTTAACCATAAGACCCCTAAAAGTTAACCATAAGACCCCTACCATAAGATCCCTCAAGGGACCATAAGACCCTTAAAATTTAACCATAAGACCCTGAAAACTTGACCATAAGACCCATAAAGGTAAACTTTAAGACCTCTAAAAGTTAACCATAAGACCCTGAAAACTTGACCATAAGACCCATAAAGGTAAACCTTAAGACCTCTAAAAGTTAACCATAAGACCCCTAAAAGTTAACCATAAGACCCCTAAAGGTTAACCTTTACTTTTGGAGGCCTCATTGGAAAAACGAAATCGACAATTTATTTGTAAAGGCCTAAGGTGTATTATCTCATCATTCATAAAGATAACTCCCTCATTCTCTTCTCCATATAAGGAAATATGGTCAGATTTGTCTTTTTCATGATTTTTTGAAAAATTAGCTTTCATCACAGAAACAGAAACTACCGTAATCGCCATATTTAATGCCCATCCCCTAACAAGCGCCCCTCCACTTCAAAAAGTTCAATCGAGGAAGGACCAAGTGCCAAGTATTAACGAAAAATAATCATAATTTCCAAATAAATCAAGTAGGCGATAATAGAGTACTAAATTCTTATTCGTATTCTTGCTAACTGTTAACTATTGAACTCTTACCTGAAGTAAATTATATTTTCAGTTCCTTTTGGCTGAACTGAATACATTCTACTTGAAGTTTGTACTTTGGATTCCCCCAGAGCATTTTCTGTGCCTTGGTAGACTGGTCATGCTTTTGTGTATAGGTGGAGTTTGTATGCGTGAATGTTTTGAATTCCTCGATAATCCGTAAGTCTCTTTACATATACTTTATTAATCTATTTAGCCTTATTTAGAAGTTCATTCTATCTTACGAAATACATTTATTCAATTTATTATTGAAGCATTTATGATTTATCTAAATATACAATTCACAAAATGTTCATAAGATGATTTTCTTTATATTTTTCCAGTAAATGTAAGAAGTTTGGCCAGCAGTCTTGGATTTTGTTATGCATCATCATAACTGAACTTCTTATAACGCTCAAGTTTGATCCTGTTACGATCAGTAAGCCTCTACCCACAGGAATTTTTTATTTCTTGGTGTGTGGGGCAATTGGGCTCATCCTTTACACCATATGGCATTTCTGGCTAGTTAGGTTTGTTCATCATGCCTATGCTAAGCTCACAACCAACCAGGATGCAGATAGCCAGTCTATTCAAAATGGCCACCAATCTCAAGATGACTCACCAGAAAATAATTATAGGTCAAGTAATAATAATGATTTTAAGCAAAATGGGAGTCCAGTAAGGCAGTTACGTACACGTAAACCCGTAAAACTATCTTAGCTGTGAAACACAAACATGGGCTCAAGAAGGGTGTGACATAGGGACTTAAGGACCCCACTGTAAATTAAAATAGGAAAAAGGTTTCTTTTCTGAGCACCTTGCAATAATCAGCTGCAAATCATGGGCTTACATAGCCCATGCTCAGATTAAATTAACTGGCTGTGTGTACATCCATGCAGGCACATGTAACACACCCTTCTGCTCAAGCCTCTTCACTTGAAAATGAAAGAGATTCCTCAATATGCTGACTGATAAGAGAATCTACTGTTTAAACTGTTATTAAAAGAGATCATGAGATTGATTTTTGTTCGACATATCTCATATATTGACAGAGTCTAGTTAGATTTTTATAAAAACCGGGGACTAGTGTAGAATAGAGACATTATTTTATTGAGTAGTAACAAATACAGGGTTCGTGTCTTTCGTGCAATGAATATCGACTTGCAATTTGAGCCGACTCACCATGCATGCTCCTCGGCACTGCAAACATTTTACTAATTTTGATACAGTTAAAAATGAATAACATCAAAATATTTTGAAGTTAAAAAAATAGTTTTAAACTCGGAGACCAATATTTGGCTGATTTAATTTAGTGTAATATACATGTAGTATAACATATATAATACATATTATACAGTATGTGTATGTATGATTTTATTTTGGATTTTGTACATTTCCTGTTGTGAAATGTATTATGACTAGGATTTACACACATTTTACCTTAATATACTATATATATAGTATTCAAAGTAATGTGACAAGTACGTATATACAGGTACAAAGCCCTTTCTTAGCTCAGTTTTTGTAGCCCTGTTTTTGAAGCCCTATGTTCCACATCCTTCCATATGATACATATCTCCTTAGAAAATATCACATTTTTGTGTCTTCTGTTCTGTAGTCTTGCCTATTTGTCATCATTTCTCTCTAATATTTGTTTTTTGGTATGACTTCAGACAATACGGGATTGAAAATATGGGGTGGGTTGGAGCATACATAGTTATTTCCCCAGCCCAGACTAATGGCAGGCCCATCGCCAGCTTTGCCAAGGGGATTCAGGTTTGAAGAATTCCAGAGGGGCTTCAAATTCCCCAAATCACTTGAGAAATTGCTGAGAAACTGTCTGGTTTTGGAAGAATTTTTGGCCAGTGGGTTTGCCAGAATCCCCCGAAACACCCCCCCCCCCTGGCTACTGGCCTACAGTTGCTTTTAAAATGTCTAGATTGTTGTACAAATTTATATATTGCTTATTTTTCAGAAATATATCATGAATGAATAATATTAAATATGGTTTGTTTATTCCAATTTTCTTACAGAAAGTTAGGAATAATCATGAAATTTCTGAGAAATAGGCCCCAGATGTATATTTCCAAACTTTCAGATGTTTTAAAGATCCTTTCGCACATACGATCATTTCTATATGAAATGAAACTCGTTGAACTCAATGTGAAATATATTTTTGATTTCCATCATTTATTACAATTTGGAAATGGGTGCTACTGAAAAAATATTAAGATATGATCAATGATCTGACGAACTTGAAGTTTGGAAATAGACCCATGAATAGATGTGCCGCCTCAAGTGCCTCGAGTCATGTAATGCTTCGATTTGTCTGAATTGTGATACTGTTGAATAAATGTCCATTAATGTTGTATTTTTCTAAAGATTCTTGTATTTATTTGTATAACTGGAATAGTCATTATATATATTGAGTTAATTATATATCATAGATTATATAATAAATGATAAACATAATTGTAAACATGTACATTATATTAATAAATTTCACATGCCCTTCCACCAGTCCATTAAACTAAAAAATTATGAATAAGATATTTTTGAATATTAAGATATTAGGTTATATTGTAAAGGCACTGTCTTGGAATAGTTTCCACAAAAGGAAAATACTATTTTTGGATGGTATCTTCAAAGTGGTAAATACAGTATTTTGCGATCGTATCAATGAAATGTAAAGACAATATTTGTTAAGCCATGACATAGTTGTAGAAAAGTATCTGAAAAAGATAAACATTATATTTTAGGATGTTATCTGTAAACTGTTAACTCGGGATATTATCTCTAAAGCGTTAAGTATTTTGGGATAGTATCTGTAAAGAGTTGAAACACTATTTTTGGATATTATCTGTAAAGTGTTAAGTATTTTGGGATAGTATCTGTAAAGTGTTAAAACACTATTTTTGGATATTATCTGTAAAGTGTTAAGTATTTTGGGATAGTATCTGTAAAGTGTTGAAACACTATTTTTGGATATTATCTGTAAAGTGTTAAGTATTTTGGGATAGTATCTGTAAAGTGTTAAAACACTATTTTTGGATATTATCTGTAAAGTGTTAAGTATTTTGGGATAGTATCTGTAAAGTGTTGAAACACTATTTTTGGATATTATCTGTAAAGTGTTAAGTATTTTGGGATAGTATCTGTAAAGTGGTAAAACACTATTTTTGGATATTATCTTGAAAGTGTTAAGTATTTTGGGATAGTATCTGTAAAGTGTTAAAACACTATTTTTGGATATTAGCTCTAAAGTGTTAAGTATTTTGGGATAGTATCTGTAAAGTGTTAAAACACTATTTTTGGATATTATCTGTAAAGTGTTAAGTATTTTGGGATAGTATCTGTAAAGTGTTAAAACACTATTTTTGGATATTAGCTCTAAAGTGTTAAGTATTTTGGGATAGTATCTGTAAAGTGTTAAAACACTATTTTTGGATATTATCTGTAAAGTGTAGAAGCTATTTTGGGATTACCTGTACTTCTTTTTAATTTGGCGGCCGTTTTATTTTGAAATTGCTAAAGTCTGCCAAATTAAGTAGCCACCAAAGTCCCTGGTAATTTTAGTACCATGTAAATTGGTACCATTAGTGCATTGTAATATTGCAAGTCTGCCAAAGAAGTAGAACCAAATTAAATAGAAGTACAGTAACTGTATCTTTAGAGTGTAAAGACACTGTTTTGGGATAATATCTATAAAGTGTAAAGAAGCTATTTTAGGATATTATCTGGAAAGTGTAAAGACTCTATTTTGGGATCTAATTGATTCTATTTTGGTTCAATAATTTTTCTTGGAGTTTCTTAGAGGTTAAATGTCTGTTAACCAGAAATTCATTTTAGGAAATAACCTGGAGACCAGACTGAATTAATTCTAAAATGACGAATCAGAAAAATGTCATGACAGAAAATATTATTTTTTCACAAGATTGCAGTCTTCAATGTATCACTCTTCCTATACAAGATTTTATCATAACTTAGTATTTTATTTCAAAATTGGAGTGTTGCCTTTTTGCGTCACCCTCATACATGTAATCTATATGTTATCTATGCTCTACTTATAGTCCTTATGATACATGTATTTTGGGCTTTTTGTAAGGTAATTGGGATTCAGCTGAAAATATATCTGGTAATATTTTTGAAAAGTACAGAAAATTCAGATTGATGGTATACAGTAACCTCAAAATGCTGAGAGGTTCAAGATATGTGAGCCAACAAAATGATGACACGTGTTTCCATTTAAAACTTATGGATATGGGTTTTATAAAGAAATCTTAGGAATTAGGGTTTCAAAATTAAACTTAGGAATTAGGGTTTCTAATAGCCTTGCCCAAGTCGGCCTCTTTTTATTTTTATACTTATCTTGATTTCTAATATGACCGCCGGTAACAATGCAAGATCAGGATAAGTAAAAAAATACTGACTTGGTCAAGGCAGTTTCTAAATAAAACATGGTTTCTTAATAAAACTTAGGGACAATGGTTTCTGAATAAAACTTAGGAATTAGGGTTTTTAAATAAAACTTAGGCATTAGGGTTTCCAAAGTGATCTCTTGCAGTTTCTGTATCTCAATATTATATTTTTGCATCGTTTGATTTGTATTATGTAGTTGCTTTGTGCATATATGGCTGTATATGAGGAAGCTTAGACATTATATATATTTCTACATATATTAGTTTTGTAATCACAAATTTCACAATTTTGATGCATCAAAAATATGTGAGCGCTTTATTTTATATCCCACCGAACATACAGGTAGTTCATAATTTATTTCTCTATACAAGGAATAAAAATTTCCTCTGGCGGAAGTTCATCCATTTTGTTCTAACCAGGTGGGGGACCAATGATAATGCATCTAAATTGGAGATTTTTTGGGCCATTTGCATTAGTTTTTTGTTTGATATATGCTTCTGTTTCACAAGCAGGCCTAGAGGTGCTAGGAGTAGATGTTTTATAACAATTAGGATCATAATTTTGAATATTTGAATGCTTGCTAATTGACTTTAATTTTAGTATTTTTTAACTGATGGATATAGTCACTGATTTTGTGACTGATGGATATAGTCACTGATTTTTGTTACTGATTTGAATTTACACTTATTTTCATGACTGATGGAAATTGTCACTTATTTTCATGACTGTCACTTATTTTCATGACTGATGGATGTAGTCACTTATTTTGTGACTAATGGATATTGTCACTGATTTTTGTGACTTATGGAAATTGTCACTGATTTTGTGACTGATTGACATTTTCACTTATTCTCATGACCGATGGAAATTGTCACTGATTTTTGTGACTGATTGACATTTTCACTTATTTTCATGACTGATGGAAATCGTTACTGATTTTGTGACTGATTGACATTTTCACTTATTTTCATGACTGATGGAAATTGTCACTGATTTTTGGACTGATTGATCTTATCACTGATACTTGAAGTAAGAGAATATATATAGCTAGCTTAGATATAACACCCATGCCCTTTAATCTATATTCTGATTACATTTAGGATTTGATATATGACCAGTGAGATTGTCTTCCATATTTTGAATTCTATTTTTTCGACACATGGCCAAACTTTGCCATGTGATCACACCTTGACTTAATGTGCCAGACTGTCACTGTCAATCATGCGACATATTCAATACACAACATTGGTTAAATGACTCCACTGTACTGAACATAATGAGTATCCGTAAAAATAGTTTTATTGTATACACATGTACTGTAAATTGGCTTAATTTGGCGATTCATCAATTTTGTAGTTTAACCATGTTATTAACCTCTTGAATCTGAGGCTCTAAAATTGGTTGAAACCAGAGAATTTTTCATTTTTGCCACCTTTTGACATTTTACTACATACCTTTACAACTTTAGATGCTCAACTTAGCAAACTTAGATGGCAGAGATCATTTCTACATGTTTTAAAACAATTTTTGTGTGAATTGGATGAAAATTGTTCGAATCGTCATTCTGGGTAGTCAAGAGGTTAATATAAGCTATATTTTAATTACAAATTCACCATATAAAATACTGTCAAATGAAACCAATTTACAGTTTATTCAGAATTCGTGAATTATACAGAACATCAGAAGCGAGCATGCCAGCAATATTGAAAATTGTTATTCATAAAGGTGTTGTAGATTTTGTATATGAGTGAAAGGCTGATTATTATATAGAGTTTGGTAGATTTGTTATGCTGCAATAAAGTATTATTTATAAGTAATATTACCATACATTCTGTTTAGTTTATTATTATATGCATACCCTGGCTACTGTACTTACTCTAAAAGTCACCATTACATGTTATTGCTAATATCTGCCATTGAATCTGTCTATTCAAACTACCAGGAATAACGTGAGCATATCATACAGTGCACCCCTGCACAAATGTCCTGATGTATTTCAGTTATTCAGTGGTAACATTCCGTCCCAGGTTTGGGACTGATATAAAGATGGCAGCGGCAGTAGAAACCCTAATTCTACACAAAGTGATTGGCCTGCCCTCTTTATTTAAAAATTATTATTGCCCTGTCCTATGGAGGCTATTGGATATTCCAGTATTTGAGCAGATTAGGAAGGAGGAATTAATTGTAGTGGCAAGTATGGTTTACCTAGGATGAAGAGGTAGCATTGACCTAGAACGATAGCTGATTCACAGAATACAATTTCATTGTTTTGCTTTTTGGTTGGGTGACTTTTACTTAAGAGATTAGATGGGAGGACAGCGAGTGTAAAATGGTTGTAATCTTTTCAAGAGCTTACCAATGTTTTCCTTGCAATCCTAGCTATTGAATTGAGATTTCTAATCAAATTCAGAAGTTATTGGATATAAGAAGTACTGAAATATCCAAATTCATTTTCAATAGACTTTTTCAAAACTATACCTTGCTAGATGGAATGATGAGAGCAAAAAATTGTGCCCAGTTTTTCAAAACTCACTCGCAACTTGTCTCTTTATCTCTTATGGCAGCGACGGAAAAATAAACAATAATTCCATTTTATGTGACAATATGTCCTTCCTTATTAGGCTACTAAGAATTTCCATGATTTACAATCTCTTACTCTTCTGACCAATAACCTTTAACAATTTCTTTCCCACTCACTACATGTTATATTACTTCAAAAGGGGGGGGGGTTAAATCTTCCTGGGCCTGTGGACTCAAGTAAACCCTTCCCATAAACAAACTGGGGCTGCTTTCAATTAATCATCCCAGAAAAATGATCCAGTTATAGGATCTCAGTTGTATGATGACTTGAGAGACATGTTGATTCATCCTTGTGATTAAACCTCTGTTCATAGAGAAAATACTGCATCTATTCCCGGGAATTTAACAGATTTTTTTCAGAATGATAGGTCCCTTATTAATTTTTCGTCCAGTGTAGAGCACATGTACTACAATTTGATCACGTGACGGCCTCTTCGCAAAATCCGCCATCATGGGTCGTATGCACGCTCCAGGGTTCGTATATTTTTGCCATCTTACACTTTATCCCTTACCCAAATAATAATTTATACTAGTCCAAGATATATATGAATATATCAGTAGCAAAATGTCACATAAATAATCGAAAATAATCTTCCATGTTTAATAAAATCTTTGCGAGAAAACTTGCTCATATTTGAAGTGTGCTAACACGTGTCTGGAGCTCACGGAGGTGACGTTCTAACGAAACTCCGACATTAAAACGTCACTCCCGTCCGTGGGTAGGCTAACTGTAATTTCAGTGTAAATAAACGTTGTTTCTCTGTTATTGCAGAAAGGGTATATCCCAGTCAGCTCTCCCATACAGACGATCTGTGCCAACTGTAAGTATAGATCTAATTTACACCTGTCGTTATCAAACTCAAGTCTCAAAAATTTATGATACCTGCTTGGAATATGACAGCAGTCTTCCACCTGGATTTCATCTGGCATGAAGACTTCAATACCTGTGCAAGATTGTCTAGACTGTATCCTTCGTCTGAATAAATATTCAGACTGTAAGTCACCTATTGTAAAATGTGGTGTTGTATAAATGTTACAAATAAGTTTGTTAAATGATAAAATGATTACCTTATAAAGTACTTACAATATTATTTTTTCGTATATTGTCCTCTTACTGAAGATATTCATAAAATGTACAGACGCTTCTTGTAGCGAAGCCATTGATTAGGTCAAGCCATTTTGGCAATGCCAATTCTCACGATAAACGAGATTTAGCCAGTGACGTCAGTCTATTTGTAAACAAATAACACGTGGAGCGGACGGAAGCGTGTTGATAAATTCCATTTGTGCGGGAATTTATTAGATCTAGTCATTTATTATCATTATCCCGATTAATTTTCTTCATTTATAGTAAATAGAGCGGAAATATTCATGAAGAAGGCCGAGGTAATCAAGTGGTCATGTGTTGTCAAAGTTCAAAATTTGCATATCTCGTTTGGATCTCGTGAACTCAAACGTCCTTGACATTGATTTCGCGATGTACTTATAAACACATCCTGAAGTTTTGGTGAGTCTGAACATTTCATTATTTTATATCAACTTGTACCCGCCTTATACAAATATTTTTGCTTCTAGTTTAAGATGAACATCTCTTCAACATATTCACCAATTTTCAAGGTGAACATTCTTGTAATAAACGAGAAATTTATGTGCAAAAAATATCACCGAGATTTCCACAGGAAATATATCAATCATAACAGACCGAATATTATATTCGGTCTGTTGGATACATACTACAAGATTGTCTATTCTTGATGAGCTTTGATAATTCTGCTTTATTCAGTCGAAACGATATTGCACAGGTACGAGTACAAGAAAGTTTTTCTCATATGACTTGATTATGCCTTATTTTCACCTATTTATAACGATTCTAAAGCGCCTTAGAAATTTTATTTGGGAATTACACCTGTCATTTCTAAAATGCCTTTCGTGCACTAATGATGTAGATATGGAGAATATCCAGCAGATGTGTACAATAAATGTATTCTTTTAGCATCTAAGAGAAAACATAACCAAGACTTTTGCCGTGAACTTAATTTCAATTTTTTTGATATAATTTTTTGGCTCCCATCCATCATTTTCTGTATTTTTGCGTTGGCCTAAATGTGTAGCATTTGAAAAGCGCCTTTCTAAAACGCATGTTGTAATTCCAGCAACTGTGAATCCGTTGTCAGGTTCATGATGTTTTTAAACATGTGATATCATAAGTAAATCTCATCTTGCACGTGTGACTTTATAGGATGAAAGATGGCAATATCTTGCATGGGGTAAAGATGGCTGTATCTTTATTAGGCATATGAGAAATATCTATCTCGCCTCTGTCCCTGTGGTCCCTTAGGGAGTTGTAGAATATTCCTCATGGATAAACCCTTTATCCAAATCCTCCCAGTACATAACTTGATGTATTTATGAACTTTTGTAATTTCAGTGGCTGAAACTGACATCTGAAGATGTTAAAGAACAGATCTACAAACTTTCAAAGAAAGGTCTGACCCCCTCACAGATTGGTGTTATCCTGAGGGATTCCCATGGTGTCGCCCAGGTCAGGTTCGTCACTGGTAACAAAATCCTCCGTATCCTTAAGGCTAAGGGTATGGCCCCTGAGATCCCAGAGGATTTGTATCATCTTATCAAGAAGGCTGTTGCCATGAGGAAGCATCTTGAAAGGAACAGGAAGGTAAATAGAAAATTTCATCTGTAAATGGATATTTTATGTAAAATTGTCTATTCTGAGATATGAACTAGTTATAAAGCATTGTATTGAACTGTAGACAACAGTCATGCTTATACCTGTTCATATGCAACAGTTGAACATATTTCCTATTGGTCAGTGATTAAACGATGACAAGTCAGAAGATTGTTCAGTGGTTGTCATGGTGATTTAGTCAGTGTGAGAGTATTTCTTTTATTGGCATCATGGTTGCTATGGTAACTGCTGGCAGTCAATTAACATGCTGTATAGAGCAAGGCATTTGTCTGAGACCAATTGATACTATGATAATGTTACCTCTAAAATAAAGAGATAAAATACAATTCAGTTTGTCCATATGTTGTTTAAACTTACTTTTCAGAACTCCATGAGATCTACTTGATTTCAAACCTAGAGAAATAAGGTGAAAGCCTGTTTCTACTAGAGAAAACAACACTTTCATTCTGCTTCATCAACAGTCTCAAATCTAGGAGTGCTTGGTTAATAGCTAGTACTCTCTAGTAGACTGGATGTGCAAGTCTAGGAGATTTAAGCTTGGCTTTGTCTCTAGTGAGCTATCAAGCCTAGAAGGTTGAGGTCTTGATCTCCGTTCATGTACCTGGCCTTTCTAGTGAATAATCTAGTTGGAAGACATTCAGGAAAGGTGCCTACAAAACTCCTACTGTAGCTACATTTATTAAGTGGAGAGATTTATTATTGGAAATAACTTTAAATTAAGATGTGATGCAATTTAATGCTGTGTTAATGCTATGTACTGAATTCTCTTTTACCTTTACTTACAAGTTCTGTACTAATATTATCTCCATCATTGTTTCAGGATAGAGACTCCAAATTCCGTCTCATTCTGGTTGAATCCCGTATTCACCGTCTTGCTCGTTACTACAAGAAAAAGAGAGTATTGCCACCAACATGGAAGTAGTAAGTATTTTATTTCAAGGATCCAGTATTTATGATTTAAGACATAAGAAATGTTCTATATTTTGATTATGTATCCTATCTAACGGTATAAAGAATGGTCCATGATTATACGATGACAAGTCAGAAGATTGTTTAATGGTTGTTATGGTGATTAGTTGATTTAGGAGTATTTCCTTTATTGGCATCATGGTTGCTATGGCAACTGTTAGCAGTTGATTCATATGATGAACAAAGCAAGGCATTTGTCTGAGACCAATTAATTTTCTTTCCTGAATTTAGTTACTCCAGGATAGAAACTTACTCTAGGATAAAACTCCTATTAAAATTATAAAATATATGAAATTTTCTGTTGTATGAAAATTGGCTAAAAAATATATTTTGTGTGTTTTCAGTGAGTCCTCCACTGCCTCTGCCCTCGTAGCCTAATCCACTGGTCACAGGACAGCACTATGGGTTCACACCACACAGGCCAGATACAGAGACTATGAGATATACGATTATATGGACTCATTAGAATTATCTGAAAATACCATAGTGTAAATAAATCATGAAGAAACAGAATTACAGGAGTTTGTCAATAACATGCAATATTCAGGCTATCTAACAAAGTTCAGTAGGGATATAGTGAAGTCAGTCTGTCTGTCCAGAATATAACTCCCTAAACTAGAGGATATATTTTCTTCATATTTGATGGCAGTAGTTATTTTTGGCTCACACAGAGCCTATGGGATCGACCAGGTGTCTGTCCGTCCGTCCCTCCGTCTGTCTAACCAAACTTGGAAATGTTTCCAGATAAACTAGTGGGGCCTACTTTCCCTATCGGGAATACACCTTACATGTAGATGGCGCTGCAACGGGCTAGTAAAGGAGAAAAAGCTTTTTTATACAGGAAACCAAATAACCAACGGTAATCTCTTGTATCCCTACTCCGAACTAGATTTGATCATTTTCTGATCTTATCATTTTGGACATTTCACTGCTACATAGATCTGACGTCACACCATGTTCTATATAATAAACATTCTTTCCTGTCCATTGAAGTTTTATGTTCCTACCAAGAAGTGACATTTTGTTACACCTTGTATTCAAGATTTTCTTGGAATGGAAATTAATTGTATTGTCTATGGGTATTATTCTTGAAGTTCATTGAAAACGAGAATATTTTTTCTTCACATTCTCTTTCAATGGGCATATTAAGGGATTGGGTGTATTTCCAGCATTGCAAAATTACAAAAACATGGATTAAATTATTGAGATTTTATCAAATTTATTTCTTAAAAAACATGCAAGCGAGTTTCATCATGTTGCAAAACATGCAAGTAAATATATTTCTTAACAATATTATTCTGTTATCTGATAAGTTTTTCGATATCTATTCCATCCCTTACATCAGTTAGTTTCTGTTCAAACCCCCTCACCTATTCTTTTTAGAGAGTAAGAAGTACAGTGATTTGATGGATGATTATACATGATGCAAACCTGTAGATCCACTGTGATATGGGGGACCCCTCAGGAGGGTATTGGGCCAACCAGAGGGCCCTTATATCACTGATTAAGCAGGGTTTCTCTTTCCATTTGCTCCCAGGAACATCAACCTTGGGGAAGATGTCTCCTCTTAGTAAGTGGAAGTAAACAGTGAACTCAGTATACAAAAATTATGGTCTCTATCACTGTCTTATTGTGCATTTAGTAATTTTCACATGGGAATTTTAATATTACCCTCACATGTATCAACTTGGTGTCTCATAAGCCGGCATCGGCTAGAAGCAATGTTTTTTAAAAAAAGTGTTTTAAATGTATTTTAATATTATTGCTTGTGACACAAAAATAAACTACTAGTATATTAAACTAAAAAATTATTTAACAACCTGCCTGTCAACAAGCATACAGCTTAACAGTTTAGCACACATGTACAGTCTAGTATGCATATACAGTCTAGTACATGAATACAGTCAACATATAGTCTAGCACACATTAACAGTCTAGCACACATGTACAGTCTTGTGCATGTTGTGCCCATATAAATTATACAGTCCAGAACATATGAACAGTCTTGTACATGAATACAGTCAACATATAGTCTAGCACACATTAACAGTCTAGCACACATGTACAGTCTTGTGCATGTTGTGCCCATATAAATTATACAGTCCAGAACATATGAACAGTCTTGTACATGAATACAGTCAACATATAGTCTAGCACACATTAACAGTCTAGCACACATGTACAGTCTTGTGCATGTTGTGCCCATATAAATTATACAGTCCAGAACATATGAACAGTCTTGTACATGAATACAGTCAACATATACAGGGTCTAGCACACATAAACAGTCTAAAGCACATACTAGTATTCAATCTAGTACAGTATATACAGTTTAAAACACAGAAACAGAACAGTTCATACATGTAGTCTGGAGCACACACAGACTATGAATATGAGGATTAAGAAAATTTTGGTGCTGTCTGTAAGAATGTAATTGTATGGAATCAGCTGCATTCTATCTACAGAAACATATTCTACGATACATTTTAAAATAATGGCTCGCGAGTCGTGACTGGGTCACCTTTATCAGAATTTTTACATACATGTACCATAGACTGAAAAATACAAAAATAAATTTAAAGATGTGCACTAATTTTTGTTTTCAAGGTAACATTTGGCAAAGCACTATAAATTAGCAGTGTTGTTGCCATGGTTACTGGTGCTATACAAGCACATTAAAAGCTCAGTCCAAATATCTGAAACATGTGAATTTATGGGTAATTTTTATTTGGCACTGCTTTTCACTTGACACTGTTAATTAAAGAAACACTGGTTTTGTAAAGAATAATTTGAATGACTGTCTCTATCAATTAAATAACAAAAACAACAAAATTGAATATTGGTTTTGATACCATTAGATATATCCAATACGTAATAAATACATAGTAAATATAGTACTTATCTGCATGTCTATCATAAATATATTTGAATATAAACATTCATGTAAATTACAAGAAACTTACACCCTGTCCATAATTGAATGTTGATCACATGTACCAATGAGGATTGGCTCCCAGAATGCAATCTCAGTATTTTCCAACAATGAAAAAGTTAAGATGTTGTTATTGTCTGACATTAAACTGGTTATGAATTCATAATCAATAATCCAAACGTTTCGAGCTAGGCTAATATCTCGATCATCACTGCTTGTGTGTTTTGCATTTTTTGTTAATAAAACCAAAACTCGCAATTTAAAATTTGAAGTGAACATCACGACACCCTTCAAGATCGGATCCATTGTTAGAAAATATCGAGATTGCATTCTATGAGCCAACCTTCCTTGATCATATACTACCGACATAAAACTGACACTGAACATTGCATCTTATAACACAAAAGATTGTTTCTATAAACTACAGGGTGATCCTTAATATTGCTCAATTATCCCTAGCAACTTTACATTATAATAAAGCTGATGGGTCACTTTACAGAATGATGGGCCACCCTGTATCAGGTTTCTACTGCATTGCTTCGGAAACATGGACGTGATCCTTCAACTAGATTTGGCAAATCCTGGGATCCTGGTTAGAAAACTAGTGGCTAGCTTAAGTAAGAATTGCCACAAGTTGCGAACTACAGTCAATCTGGTGAGCCCAAACCTCCATATCAGGATTGCTATTATAAAGTTAAATGCCATTGTTAACTTCTTTAACCTGGAAAAAAATACACAGTATCATTACTAAATACGTATTGTTTATCACACCTGTGAAGTAAATATAAAAAGATCTGATTTTAATATAATCTCAAATGCCACAATCTATATATGCTAGGTACCAGATTTTCATTGTACATGTATTTGGAATTGTCAGCCTAAGTATTGACTACAGTTGTACATGTTATGAATCTGATGTAACAGAGTTTTATTTAAACTCCCTTTAGAAAATCCTGCTTTCCAAACAATGCATGACGGACAGTGTAGTATCAAAATTACTTAATACGAGGGGAAGAGTTATTATTATCACCATACCTGTTGAGTGCCTTTCTAGCAGCAGGCAGGTTGGATAACTGTTCTTTCAAGGCAAATTTTTTCACCCCCAAACAATAATTCTCCATATACAGGGGCCAATTGATTCTCTTCACATCGAAGCTAAAAGTCTGGAAAAAGAACAGTAAAACCTGTGTGCAGTGAACACTATTTTCCTGACATGTGTTTGTGGTAAAGGTATAGAGAGCAGTCTGTGAAATGAAGAGCGAGTTAATATTACACCATTTTTGGATAAAGATTTTGCTTTTGTAGTATGGGTTAATTTAACATTGTCGACTAACAAAACAAGTAAAAACCATCCATTCAACTGACTGTCACCCTCTGGACAGGTCAACTGTGTATAACTTACTGTTCTGTCTGTTTTTGAAAGTTTCGCTTGAAGAGCACAGATGTTGTCGTTACAAAACTCCCACTCATTGGTTGTGAAGAACTCAAGACTTGCCGATGCTTTGATAATCTTGTCATTTACTTTACGGAATCTGAAATGAAGAAAAGAACAAAATCTTCAACTTTGTGATCGTTTGAGTGCTCATGTATAGTCAACCTCCGATCACAGGGCTTCAAAATCCAGAATATCTTCTTTCTTTTTACACCCTGCTAACAGCAGTTATATCATTTCCTGATTAAGATCTAGTAATTTGATTCGCTGTTGCAACACTAGATCACATTGGTCATGTTTAATCGGGCGCATCCAAATGGTTATAGCAGAGGAGAAGAAGGAGATACGGATTCTGGACACCTGCTTAGGATGATGATGTATAGTGTACTATGAGGTTATATAATGGTTCTTTCTGCATATCGTTTTTATACTCGAGTGAGTATATGATATATTCACAAGTGAGCGTAGCGAACGAGTGACTATATTATATTCTCACGAGAGTATAAAATGCACGATATACAGAATGAACCATTATATAATCTTATTATCTAAGTTCAATTACAGTTGATTCGAACACAATCATAACAATTAAAAACCATAAAAATATCCCATAGCCAACTCAATAATGCTCATGACGTCACTCATGAACATTTTCATGATTTTTTATTCATTAGTTCCCAGAATGCACTTCTACAGTGGTATACGCTGGAGTGTATACGGAGGAGTTGTATACGATTTGACGATATACCACTCTCCACTGTATATCGTTGTTATAGACCCATGTTATACAACTGTAATTGGACTTAGAGTGGTATAAATGTAGATATAAGTCAACTTCCAGTACAGTACAGGGTTGGCCAAAAAAAACGCCACTTTTTTTCAAAATCCTATTACTTTTTTAATTTTAGGTACAAAATCATAATTTGCATACCAAACGAAACTTGAAGTTGTTATCTAGCCAAGGATCATGAATTGTACACTGTTACTTGAAAAAAATATGTCACCAGCGTCTCACTTAAACATGTGGTGTGCCATGAGAAATAAGCATAATTTGCAAAATGTTCCTGAACTGATAAGGCCTGATGACCGCCAAGCTAATAGCCCTGATGCAAACCCCAGTGAGTAAAGGGTATGGGAAGGTCCCCAGGAGATTGTATAAAGGCACCCAATCTAAAAAATTGCTGAACTGAAGCTGGCAATTAAGACATGTTGAAAAAAATTTAGCTAACATTCCATTGATACTGCTGTATCAGCAAGGCGACTAAAACTAAAATCTGTCATCAAATAGGGTGGCGGACCAATTGAACTCCTCTTTTAGATCAAATATTATCCAAGTTGAAGGACTTGTTACATTATATTATTACTGAGAACCCCTGGCACTATATAACTGCAAAGTTTGGGGTATGTAGGTTGGAAAATAAAAAAGTTATAGTGTCTTGAAAAGAAATGGCGTTTTTTGGCCCACCCTGTATATACTTTTAACTGATTAAACTACATGAAAAATAACCATACTATTATGCCCAAAGATTTAATGAAAACTATACCAGGCCCGGGGGGGTTCGCATAGTTTGGGCGAATCCTCCTCCCCTGACCAAATATTCTTTCAAAATCATGCAGTTTTTCACAATTTTGAGCACGTCTCAAGTGATTTTAGCCATATTTGGGCCAAAATTGTCAAATGTGAACCCCCCTGAAAATTTTTGAAAACTGAACCCCCCCCCCTTGGCAAATCCTGGCTCGGGCCTGTATACTCACACTGGTTTTCTGCCTGAGATGAAGAGCCAGCTATCTAGGAGAAGTGCAGGTAAGTAGTGGTCGAAGAACAGACAGAAGTCACGTTTTAACCTAGAAATTAATTAGTGAATTGTTAGATTCTCCTGTGTAGAGGTGTATCTTAGTTTCTTAAAGAGGGGTAACCCAAGGGGTTGATGTAAGACTAACCACCCATGGGTAGTATCTACCTGTAAATGAATTATACAGAACTGGACTAGTTGGTAATACAATGTACAGTAATAGTTATAGACTATTGAATTACTACATATATTTTGTCAAATACTGTTATTGGGAGTATCAAACCATTCTGGAATATCCCGAGGGACTTAATCTTGAATACCACCCTTGAATTCAGCTGGATAATAATTTCACTTACCAGCTTTTAGTGAATCTTGGGTTTGGCACTCTAACAATTCCATCTAGTGGATTATTCATAAGGCTATTAAAGGAAAGACGTTCTGAAAAATATATAATAATATGAAATACAAATAAGAATTTTTGATGAGTATAGAACAAAATGATACATGTTTCAAAACTGCAGGGAAACTTGAGGGTACTCCAAATTGATCCGAATGTATTGTGCATTATTATGTCCCAGATATAAACATGAAAACATTTGAATGTAGCACACCAAAAACCAAATTTATCGTCAAGACTTGAAATAACCTTAATATTTTAAATTGGATTTAGATGTCCATGCACTTCAGGATATGACCAATTATATTTAGGTTAAACCTTACCCATGGTTCCCCAGGTCATTCTGTTTATTTGACCAGTGGTGCAGTTATACACTGGAACATTGCTAGGGTTTGTTGTTGCCCGTTGCCAAGCGACTGCTATCATACAATTGACTGCCATATCTACAGGGATTAAGTCGGCTGTCTTGTCATGATCACCCAGCATTGAACGGAGGACTCCCTTTCCAATCTACAACATAGAATGTCAACAAGTTCATTCATGAAGTATTGGTTCTGGGTAACCCTTGTATCCCCAAAACAGTCTGCATTGAGTTTAAAATATTTCTGATTTCAGGACAAATATGGGAACTAATGGACTGATTTGAAAAATCACAACCCTTTGGTTTAAATGACTTGCAAACACAACTAACATTTTAAGAAATATGACACATTGTAAGTTAGCGCCTTAATCCATAACTCATTCAAAACACATGCAATAGAAAGTATAATGACAGTCAAAGGTACAAAGCCAATAAAATAGTTCAAACTCTCAGAGGTTTCACTAGAATTTCTCACAACAGGCTAAATAAATGAAAACAGGCAAAATTAATGGAAATCATAAAGGACGATTCTCGGTTTGGAGAACAGTCTCCTGGGCTAATAATTTTTTTCATGAAAAATATAGAAATATTACCCAAACTAAACTATGAATATTCAAAAGAGGACATTTAAATCTACAAGATGTAAAAATAACAAATTGGTCTGGAGCAGGGATAACGCTCAATTAGACCGATTCAATAAACTACAAGTCTCGATTTGGAGAAAGAAGTTCATCAGTGTACTGCGCTAACATTTTTTTGCGAAAAATCTAGAAATATTACCCAAATTAAATTATGACTATTTAAAAGAGGACATTCAAATCTATATTATGTGAAAAAATCAAATTTGTCTGAATCAGGGATAATGCTCATTTAGATCGATGAACTTCGTTCTCCAAACCGAGAATCGTCCTTTAACATGGAAACGTCCCTAAAAACAACAGGTGATTTTGTGATAACAATCGGTGAAAATCGCCTGTTGCCTGCTGCTGATGAAACCCCTGGACTCTGCTTCAGGTTAATCAACACAACTTACAGCAGCAATGATCCCTGCTGGTCCATTGAAGTTATCCACCCATCCAGGCATGGGTTCTTGGAATGAGCATCCCACTATTGAGGGCCTTATGATGGCCACAGGTAGTTCCCCACATGTCTCTACAAGCAGGTACTCAGCCATAGCTTTCGTGTAGGTGTATGTGTTGGGCCTGTTTCCTATCAGCTTTGGTGTTAGTGTCGTCACTACCTCATCATCCATCCAGCTGAAATGAAGAAAATAAATTTTTACTTAAGACTTGGGGCTTCAAGAGACCCCATAGATGGACAATGAACAAAACAACTTAATGGGCTATATACATTGTATCCACCTAGACAAACAATGAACATAAAAACATACAATTATTCAGATTTTGACCAAAATGATATTAGTATATTCCAGAAGGGGATCTGTGTGCTAGAATGAATGACTAAAATAGACCTAAATTTAGAAAATTTTATAGGATTTGTTGAGAGGATACAGAATTAGCATATGGTATTTTATTTTTTCTACACTGATTTCTAACCCTGCACGAGGGGCAACACTTACTCCATGGCATCTAGTATTTTCTGAGGCTGCAATGGGGGTGGGTAGACAAGCTCTGCTATGTGTTGTCTGTCACAGTTTGCATATGCCGTTGACACATGTACAAGTGCCTGAAATGTTTTAACATATACAGAATTGTTTAGTCTTCAGGTTGGAATGTAACAATGTGGGTTTAACTGATTATGGGATCAATAGGACAAAAAAGAACTAAATGTATACAAAGGCATGGCTAAGCCATTTTTTCATAGTATGCACGTAGTTAGACTAGCACACAACGAAGGTCTTTTCTCATTCATTGTTAAACGTATGTGTTTTTGATACATTTCGAACTGCAACATCAGTTCATTGCTGCCATGCGAATGGATGCAGATACATGAAAAGTTCCAGTAAATATATTTTCATTTTGAGTTTTGACATGTAAAAGTTCCTGGCTCTACTCACACCGGAATAGCCTGACTACGGTAAAGTCAGATACCGTTGTCACAAATGGCGGAGATAACCGTCGCTTCAATTCTTTAATCACTTTGTCCTCATTTCATGGGATTTCATCGTCGTTAATTCTGTGCATGCATTGAGCTCTTGTGATAATGTATCATATGTAATCCCATTTCAAATCAAATTGGGTCGTGAATCGCCACAATATAGCCTCTTCGATATCGTCAATGACAACGGAATCTGAATTTGAGTAATTTAGAAAGACAACAGCATATGGTAATTACAGTGTCCGTTGTCCCATATTTCATTTTGATCGGTCAAATTAAAGACTTTATTTCGATGGTAGAACATTATTAACTTTACAATTAGTATTGATACACTTTGATTGATTGTTGTTCCAAAGGAATTTAGTCTAGGTGCTCTATTAAACATACAGTTCATGAAAATCTAATTGAAGCGACGGTTATGTCCGCCATTTGTGACAACGGTATCTGACTTTACCGTAGTCAGACTAATCCGGGGTGCTACTGCTATATAATGGATGTTTTAATACAATATGTTACTCTTCCATGCAAGTATATCATTTCGTTGATAATACAGAATATGGGATGCCACAGATCACACCTTGCAATAATGCCATTATGAGGGTTATTTCTAATACTGAGAAGTTTATCATCTGTTCAAATTAATGCATAAATAGATATACTGCACTGTAACGTGAGCGAATTTGTTTGAGCAGTCCAAGTCTGACATAAAGAAAACCCTATTTAATAACATGGTATTCTCTATATCATTGATATATATCAAATCCATTCTGCCAATTTCCTACGTTTAATGATTTGGCAGATTACCTGGGTCAGAGACATATATATATGTATATGTATTGTATATATATATATATATATATATATATATGTCTCTGCCTGGGATAAGAAAGAGCAGAAATCTGGAAATCTTATTTTTTCTGTTAGAAAATTTGAGTGTACGCATGTGTAGTAAACCTTTGTACAGTGAACACAGAAGGAGCCACAAAAATGTTTTCACTGAAGGTAGGTGTTCACTGCATAGAGGCAATTTCCTACAGAAGTCAGATGAGTATGTGATGCCATGAAAAAGTATGTTCACTAGATATAGGTGTTCAGTAAAACGGGTTTTACTGCAGTACATGTATACAAGTAACTGTAAAGTTGTCATCTTGATTTCTTTCTATAGCAGGTGAAAAAAACTAGTTTCACCAATTTTGATTCACATTTTGGGGCTTGTAATTGACTAGACAACAACTGTAAACAAATTGCACATATACATACATTTGATGCATTATCCCTAATGTAATAGATATCTTCTTACCTCTAATTTTGTCAACTTTTGACATAATTCAATTATTTTCTGTACACCTAACACATTCATCTGAACAGACAACCTGGAAAAGTAAATGTTCTCAGTTATTCCTTGGTTTGCGATCTCACATTTAATCCAGGCATGAAATGAGCAGTAGTTTTATATTATTCCTTTGGGGGAGGGGGACGTTAAATTTCAAACAAAAATAGATATAAGCAACTCTTCAGTTATAGCATCCTCCGATCGCAGGGCTTCAAAATCCAGAATATCTTCTTTCTTTTTACTCCCTGCTATAACCAAGTTGGACGTGCCCGATTAAACTGAATCACGTGATCTAATTATGCGCCGATGACGTATACATGATTGTTGTCGCAGTGTTGCGACAGCTAATCATATTGCGAGTTCTCAATCGGGGAAATGCTAACTGCTTATAGCAGGGGGGAAGAAGGAGGTACGGATTCTGGACACCTGCTTTGGAGGATGCAGTTATGGCAACTCTTCAGTTTTAATGGACTCACTTTAATTGTTCATCGAACTTTACTGTAGCTGCCGAATGAAACACAATAGAAACCTCGTTCTGGAGAATATGTACGTCATGATCGCTGATACCCAGGTTTTCCTCTAACATATCTCCATCTATTGGCAACAAGTGCGAGTGAAAGTCTGGGTTTGTCTTTCTGACTGCATCGAATAACTGAAGGTAGAAACAGAAAATCATAAATTGCAATGCAATATCAATCTGCAGGGCTTTGTATAAAAAACCTCCTACCTCATACCCACCTACCCACGTACGTGGGACATGATACAGTCTTTGAAGGGTTCAATTTACAGATCTTAGTTTGTTAAATCTTAGTTTATGATGAATTATAGATGCATTTGTAATGACCCTTGATAGCAAGTTGCTGCTACATCCCAGCTGGGTTCGATCCCCACTAGGGAATTAGCACACTTTCTTTGAATTTCTTTATCTGGCTTGTTGGACCTATGCTCATGGTCGTTAGTTATTTATTCCCCTGGGGCGCCCTAGGGTCATTACACATTAAAATGCATCCATATGCCTTTATTTATGGATCTGTCATCTGTCTAGTCATAAAATAAAGCTGGAATTGTAGAAATGTTAATAATTTGAGCTATTTTGAGATTTAATAATCTTTAAAATTGAACCCTTCAATGACTGTAACATGTTACACGTAGATGGGTATGTGGGTATGAGGTAGGAGGTTTTTTATACAAAGCCAATCTGCAGTAAAACCTGCATTAGTGGAACAATCCTGGTTCCCCAAAAAAGAAATGTTCCGCATACTATAGTAGATGGTGTATATAGTAGATGGTAATGGTAGATATATAACAATATAGTAGATGGTGTTCTACACATATAGCATTTTCATTAACATTAAGTTAATTGGACAAGGGCCTGGAGAAAGTATTCCACTTAGAAATGTTTCTATTTACATATGTGTTCCACTTACAGGGATGTTTTAATTAACAGGTTTTACTGTACAATTGTCAATTTACAAGGTATTATAGACACTCATAGAACATAAATACATAAATCATATTTTAGAACATACACCTGACATATAATTATGGAGAAGTAAAAACACAATTACATTGTATTATATAAATATACATTTCCATTAGTTATCATTCTTGGGAGAAAGTAAAATTTAAGTTCAATAATATGATTTGAGATAAAATATATTGTGTCCTTGTTTTCGACTTGTCTAAAATGTCTGTTGTTCATCCTTTAACAATGGATTCAGACATTTCAACTAGTACAAATAGAGTACATTTGTAAAGTAATCTACAAGGTGAAATCTCAATAGTTTTTCCACAAAACTATATTGTATTTAGACTTGCATATCCTTTGGTGGTATATATTATGATCCCTTAGTAATGCAAACACAACTTTTATATGGCAGTATTGATCTTACAGCTCAACTGGCCCCAGTGATAATACTAAAATCAACCTCTAAACTTGGATAGATTTCAATGCTTGACATTTTTAACAAACTGAAGCATTTAACAACTAACATTTTCAGATTGACTTCATCTTCACTTTTGAAATGATTCTTCTTTGATTTAGCCCATCTTGAGCCATCAAGGTATTACATGACTGAAGGAATACATTGGTTTAACAGTATGGATTTAGCCTACCCAATCAGAATATTTATCACATCAGTTTTTATCTAATAAATTCAGTTTACATTCAATTTTACTCTCATGAAGAGGCAATAAAACTCTTAAATGCAGCTTCTCAAATTGCTGTACCAACATACAGGTAGCTAAGAGATGGTCTAACTGTTATCTAATTTTACTCGAGTCTCTAGCCAATACTTGGCTAGAGGGGATTTCATCTGGAATACTGTGAACTCCATTTGAAAAAAGCTGGCCATGGTGTCATAAATTTATCGAATATTTTAAAAATCGCCAGATAAATAAATCATTAATCAAAACGAACCCCGCTCGGCTCCTTGATGAGATATGACATGATTTCATCAGGATTTCGTCTAAAATTAAAACAAAATGGCTCCAAGAAAAATGGCGATGTTCGAAAACTGGACGAAATGTCGTTAACGTCTGACATTAGTAACTGGCTGTAAATTCCAAGTTAGCGATCCAGAAGATGTGAACTAAAATACTGATCACTTTATGTGTTTTTTGGAATTTTTGGTGAGGTAATAAGACCAAAACTGGCAATTCAAATTGTGATGTGGAAAAATGGCGGACATATGATTTCAAATTAAATTGGTTTTATTTCATTCTAACTCAAAGAATGCTTTATAACTCTTTTAGTTGTAAAATTCTCAAAACCTGCAAATAACTGAGGAAAAGAGTTAGTACTAGAAATTGGACAGTCACTCTTCATAATATTAAGATTAGCCTAGATTCCTTACCAACTGAACAAAACTTGAAGGTTCTTTGTAAGGGACTGTCACATTATCAACTAAAATATGCAGGTAAATGTAACATACATCTTTCTGTTAGGCAAACTAAACCTCTACTTGTGAGAATAGTACATAGCTGAGACACATTTTTTCTAATTTAATTCAACTGCTGAGAAAGAAGTCACAAAAGGCAAATGCAATTATACAAAAGGAAAAATAGTTTGCAATTTGGTACAATCTTTCTTTTCTTGACTGGATTCAGAGACTTGGTGTTTCCATACATGGCATAGGGCATTGTAAGGTGAAATACATTTTGCTGGGACTTACTTTAGTTTTAAGCAGATTGTCCAGCCTTTGTTGGGCATCTTGGCCTTTGCGGGGTCTGATCAGTACATATATAGTCTTCACGCCTATAATATGAATATATACAACAATATATATACATGTATAAGAGAGAATGAAATATAATTAAATGATATACTAACTCTTATCCTATGCCAAGTAGAGTTTTAGGGAGATAAGTTGGAAAGATATATCCCGTATCCTGATTTTGAGGTTTCCATATCCAGAACCTCCATATCTTCTATTCCGCTTTGAAAAAAATATTGAAAAGAAATGTTGGAAAAATTGAAAAAATGTGAAAAAATGTTGAAAAATAGAGTTTTCATTAGATAACTCTACTGGGTATAGGATAAAGCAGTTATGTACTGGGAGGTTTTGGATATGGGGTTTAGCCATCATGAGATATGTATCCCTCTGGACAAACCCCATATCCAAAACTTCCCAGTACATAAACCCTATATATATTTCTATGGATCAAATCATATAATATATTAGGCCAGATATTCATTATGCTACATACCTAAATATGACAAAGTGAAAAGTCTCATAGGTAACTCATTTTAATTTTAGAGAAAAGATTGTTAATGTTAATTCCATGTTTTAAGTTGCATTCATTTCTACATCGATCATAATATAGGTAAATGTCAAATTTCAATGAAATTTCAACTAATTCTTTGGAACACCCTGTACAGTCACTGTACTTTTAAATTGAATAATCCAGGGTAATCAATTATGTCAGGTTAATATTTCAGATTGTTGCCCTTTGTGCCTCCAATTACAATGATATACATGTACTATAGGTGGTAACCAGCCATAATTCAAAAGTTGCAGACTAATTAGTGTCAATGACTCATAAGTTCAACATTGATATCTCCGTATCTACTACTTCACGAGCATTCTTTCTGGACATAAGATTTCAAACACATTATGAAACTCAGAAATAACCACTCTTGATAGTTAAAGAGAGAATCAGATATAGCGAGCAGGCCAACAAAAATCGTATTTTAACATCTAATCTAGTTCTTTGCTGGCCTACTCTCAGCTAGTGTCAGAGAGAATTGACGGGGGAGGTGGGTAACACAGGCTTGATGCAAAATATGCCAGGCCCGTAGCCAGGATTTACCAAGGGGGGGTTCAGTTTTCAAAAAGTTCCAGGGGGGTTCACATTTGACAATTTTGGCCCAAATATGGCTAAAATCACTTGAGAAGTGCTCAAAATGGTAAAAAACAGCATGATTGTGAAAGAATTTTTGGCCAGGGGGGGGGGGGGTACGCCCGAACCCTGCGAACCCCCCCTGGCTACGGGCCTGTATGCTTTATACATGTTATGAGATCTAGCAACAAATATAGACCTACCTGGACATGATCGTATCAGTTTCTCTATAAGAACTTTGCCCATAAATCCAGTACCACCAGTTATAAATATACTCCGACCCACGTAAAAATCTGATATCGGAGATCCATCAATAGCTGCCATTTTGTATATTTCTTTGCTTTACGCTGCAAATAAAACCAAAATCCTGGTCTCACAAATCATAAAATAGATGTTAGTTCAGTTTGTCAATTCAATGTGTATTTCATGTCTCATTAGAAAATGACTTCATAATTTCTAACAGGTGTGATGCACTTAAAAATCAAAATTCCAATTTAATTAATACAATTAAATATTTGTATGTTGTATAATATTACATGAAATTAAATTGTAATTCTAATTTTCAACACCCATGTTATTTATTAAACAATAAATTAATTTCTTTAATGAATTCCTCATAAAACTCCCTCAATTTGTTTTTCAAACAATACCTCTTTCAGCTACAGTATCATTATATTAGCACTAGTCATCTGAAGCATAGACAATATATAGGCAGCATTGAATTAATGGTACTTTGGTACTTTGCTCTAGGCCTCAAGATAAACGTCTAATTAGGGGTCAATGTCAGTGCCACGCCAGGCCATGCTGACATAGATTTGATTTTATTTGTTAAGTTTCAGCCTAGAAAACTGTCAAAATATGAATATTGGATCAGAAACTTAGGTGTGGTTGGTAGATTGGTAGTTATTGATAGATTGATATTTTACATTTGATCGTAACACCAAAGAAGAATATCAATTAAGTTACTTGTCTGTTTACTCCTACACTGTTAAGGGAAAGACACTCTCAAAAATTATTGGCATTCATGACATCTGGGGAAAAGAGATAAAATCAACTTTACATGCATGCATCAGGGCAGGGGTTGATCAGGAAAATACAAGGAGCCCCAAAAATCTTTAAAATTTCTTTACCCCCCCCCCAACATTAGCCCCTTCCTCTTTGAAAAGTAAGACTTTTTAAAAAGAGATCGAAAAAAGTTTGAGGAAACAACTGAGGTCACCCAAATTCATCAGTGGTTATAAAAGAAAAATACAGTTCAAAAAATGCCTGTCTAAAATCAGTCATATTGCAAATTACCAATTTATCATACCCCCCCCCCCCCCCACTTGACAACTCTATTTTATAATCAGCAACTGACCAGATGATCCAGAAGTATGACATGGTCAAAGAGCAATTGTGATTAACAATTAAGCAAATATTTGAACATTATGAACTTCACCTTTGACTAACTCAGGATAATCAAACATAGTCTACATACATGTACCATACATGTAATAACCCTGGACTCAAATAAGCTGGTCAACATTTAATTTCACAGTTTTAATTCTGTTAAGATCTTAACAAACTCAAATGCATCTTTCATGTCTCTTTGTAAGAGTTGAAAAATGTTGTGTCTGATTAAATACAAGAAGCTAAATAAAATAAGACTTTAAGAGTAGATATAAAGTTAAATGTCTTGCGAAGGGTATTCTATAATAATGGAATTTTAGTGGGAGGATGGAAGGGGTGACGGATGTTGGACCCTGGTGGTCTGTCCAAACACCTGTATCTTGATTTGGATTATGTAAGTCAAACATAAATACTCCACAAAACCAGAATGGACTGGTGAATTTTGCCTTATCTATGAAACTCTGTAAAGGCTACCCTGTGCGCAGTCTCGTTATAAACTATCCTCTGTCTAGTATAGACAGACTATATTATTATCAGATTATATTATTAGCAGCCCTGTCCCAAAGATTGGTGCCTGTGACAGCCCCAGTAATAAAATTATTTCAAATCTACCACACTGACCCTAACTCAGCTTGAGTCGGCAAACTGGAAGGAAAATGTGCTAAATACATGCTCATTAACTATGCGGTGATGTGAGAGGAGATGAGGGTTTGTAGAAAATACCGGATACTGGGTAGTAAATCCTCCATGCTGGGTTCAAACTTGGTACCGGGAACACGGTCAAAAAACCGGGTACCCAAAAAACAAAAAATACGAATATATAACATATATCATTAGAAAACGTGAAAGATTTGTTTTGAATTTACAAAAATGTATGTAACTTCCTTCAAAATTGAGCTAGAAGCTTCAAATAAAAAGCATTTTAAGGCTCTTTTCTTCCTCTATCATCATGGTCATATTTTCATTGGTTATGGGGGGGTGCGATCATCCCCTCCTGGCTACGCCTATGACATTGTAAGCTGAACAATTTACACTTCAGTGGACGTTTCGTCGAAAATTGGGAGAACTTAAATTATGATTTATAATCAAAATCTTACACGCTGCATCATGTAAATTAACACACATCACCCACGGTGCCCATGTCAAGCTGCGCGCCTACTTAGGCGCGCAGTTTGTTTCGATCACAAACTGCGTGCCTGGCAACATTGCATCATTTAAGTTGGAGTCTGTATTTTGAAACGTAATTTAAAGAAATTTATCCTGCATTGTTTTCTTGTTCAATGCGTTCATTCTGTGGCGAATATACGAATCTTGCAAATACTAGCAAAAACTATGTGCAAATGAATCTAAGTTTTAAAACATAAGCAGATTAATGGCATTTTCGTCACTGATTTAACGGGAAATTTATACGTAAATCGATCTAGAACTTTAAACATAAATGACAAATACTTTAGACTCGTTTTATATTTAATTCTTTACGCGTTTATCATGTTTAATTCAAAATATTTCGAGATAAAACAGATAATCAGGAGATTAAAAAGAAATTAAGCACAAACTGCGCGCCTATTTTAGCCAGAAATTACAAACTGTGCGCATACACTATTAAAAATTCATATTATCATTGGAATTTCTACAGAGGCACGTGTAGGTGTTTTTCATATAGCTTTGGAAATTTTGCTTTATCGTCAGATTTTATGAGATTTTCATATTGAAAGTCAAAATGTATAATAGAAGTGACAATTAAGTTGGGAACGAAAAACTTTTATTTTCAGATCACCATCTTGGTGGATGGACTCTCATAGTGTTTCACTTTACCCTTTGCATTCGTTTGACTTCACTTCTTAAATGAGAGCTTCGTCTTCACTCTTTCAAACTAGAATAAACCTGTGAACTCACCGCGCCAATCAGTGTTCGTCGGCCAAATTTGACCGACGTTCTTTATATGGTAATTCCTTCTGACGTCATCGTTGAGCCCGGAATTGACCAATGACATGCGCATATTTAAATAGAACGCATTTAGCGTATGTTTCTTCAAATTAGCTGATTGGTGGAAGGTCAGCGCGTAAGTCAAAAGTTATTTACCCAAACTGTTACCGGTACCCGTCTTGTGGGCGGGGCTACTAAACTGTAATATGGTCTCTACTAGGCAGAGTGTAGTTTAACTAGACTCTGCACGCAGGGTAGTTTCACTTATGGGGCTCTACTATAAGACACATATGTGCCTTACATATGGCGCTTACGTTTTCTAAAAATACAAAACAAGCTTGGGTAGGTAAGCAGTTTGAAAATATTAGGCACGCAGTTTGGGAAATACATGTGAATATAGGCGCGCAGTTTGACAAGAAAAATGTTTAAATCACGTTTATGGCGTATTATCGTTTTGAACACAAACTATGCTGCTTTAATCAGATGGAGTGATCCTATATATCCTAGCATACACAGACACAATGGCTGAATAAATGGCAAATGACGATAAAAAGACATAGATATAACTTTACACTGTGAATTTTGAACACAGAAGCTACTTAAGACCCTTATATTGAGATAACTAGGTTTACATCGGGAACAACATTGAGTACTATGAGTAAATTAAGTTCATCTTCACAGAATGGTACTGTCTTTAGAACGAGACTAACCTTGTATTTTTCGTATTCTGGCTCTTTTTGGGAGTCGTGTCCTCCCCATCTTCGATTTTGAAATATGCGCGCAGTTTGTCAGAGTTTCAAACTGCGTGCCTAGTAGGCACATTGGGCATCGTGTCACCTCTCTGCTAAAGTAACGATAGCTACTGTATTTACAGATTTAAATCATAATCAAAACAATTCACATACCAACATACGAATTACGAACTATTGAAAATAGAAAATAGTAAGATTGATTTGTCATGTTTTTCAAATCGTCTTACAATGTCATAGGCGTAGCCAGGAGGGGGTGCGATGGTGCGTTCAATTGTGATCAAAGTGTCACAAGACATTGCATTGATTAATATTTCATCTGGAATAAGAATCAACTGGTCTGCTTGTTTAAAAACATCTTAAAGACTAAAACTGTAGAAATTGATTTGGCTATAGTAGAAAAAAGGTCTCCTTTTTTGAAGGTTGGAAAATTCACAACTTTGCTTCCGAAACAGTCTTTTGATCTACGTATATTCTTGTTGTTTTGCTCAGCTGGTTTAGCAGAAAAATGTTTGCCTGCCATGTGGTCAACTGGGTTTGAAACCCACATATTCTTAGTAAATGGTTGTGCTTTGATGTTTTGCGGAGCGAAACACCGTAAAAGAGATGACATCATCATTGATTGGTAAAATTGAAAGACAAATGACGTCAATGGCATGATTTTCTAAAAATGCTTCGAATTTAATTTTAACACCCCAGGTTTCCAGAAGCACTCGATGCTGGGCACCCATGTGACCCCTGTCCCTGTGGGACCATCATTTTGTTTTGCCATCCTTTCTGTGACAACCTCTCTTTTTGTCACCAACTCCTGTAACACCCCCGTAATCCACCTCTTGTTTGAACCCCCTCCCCCTCTCTGTAACACCCACCCCTACCGTGACACCCTGTGCTTGTGTGATATCCTTCTCTCTTGTGACCCTCCGCTTGTGTGGTATCTTCCTCTTATCTGACTTCCCTCTCCCTGGAAATCCCTGGGTCTTGGAAACCCGGGTCCTGGTTTACCATCGACCCTTTCTCAAGGTTTTGACAAGATAAAGAGAGATGTATTGGAATATGTTATATCAATGGAACATCAGAACCACATATGGTATTTGGAAACTAGCTGACGAAGGTGGTAAGCTAGAGAAGTAATTATGTCTGATACTAGGATGAAGAAATGAATGTTTTGAATTCATTCCTCTGATACCTCTAATTAGCTCTTATATTTGAAGGAAGATGAAACTGAAAGTAATTTGTTTCGTTCAGTGCATTTGGCCTTTTTTACAGCTTATCAGTTTATCAAGTAATTCGATTATCGTTGGATTGACAACTAGGCCTGAGAAAAGGGAGACTTATAAATAATAAAGTATAATCTCTCAAACTATTACAATATTTCAGCAGCAGCTATAGAACTCGAAAAAAGCCGGCAACACAAATCCCGGGAAACCAATAGGCGAGGTTATAAATTACCATTTCCTGATTTTATCGACAACAAATAGTTTACCTCAGAATGTCCTATGGTATTCTTTAATCACGTTTTCATCATCTAGTCGCATCTGATCCCAAATAGTATCACATATCCTGGTTTTTATTGTTTTTAGTCATCAATGCCTCGGCAACTGTAATCATCCGATCGAATATTTCATGCCGTGGGGTCAATGGGCGAGTTCATAATTTGTCCAAGGGTTGCCAATATATTATACAGGCGAAGTCTTATCAAAAACTTGAAATGATATTCACTTTAGGTCATTTTTTGAATAAATCAACAATTTTTTATCTAACAATTTGTTATATTTGTTAGAATTTATAGTGATTTATGCTAAAAGGAACAAGTGTAATGTTTCTAGTATTTCTGTTTTCGACTGTCACGCCTCTCAAGTTTTAATGATGAATTCGTCTAAGGGTCAAGTTGATCCTACAGTGCACGCGTACTGAAAAAAGTAATAATAGTGTAACAAATTATTATTTTTCAAAAATTTTATGGTCTTAGTATTTGGAGGTTTTCAGCACTTTATCAGCAATCTCCCCGGTTATAGTTGAGCTTGCTAGTTATACACATATTTGGGCAATTATTTTTATTCCTACTTGGTCTAACAATTGTGTATGTGAATTGTTTACCATGTTTAACTGGCTACTTCCGGTCATTTCGTATATTTTCAATATAATTAGTGTTTTCGTTTCACGTTTGGGTAGTTGACATCCAGTAACCACCACCTACGTTTTTAGTGCGGCATTTTGAATCGTCCCCTCATATCGTTCCAATACAGGTTAGTTTGCCTTTATTTCTATATAGTTTTGATAGATTAGTATAACTAACGATCTCAAGTTTTTATTGAGTAAGTTTGGAATATAATTAGCGTATACTTTTCGAGATATATAGAGATCAAGTTGAGAATTGCGGCGCTAGGCCATTTTGGAATTAAATTCATGAGGATAACTTTAACTCATTAAAGCTTCTTTATTATGTCATTCTGTGCATAATTGTTGCTATATTTCATGTCTCTGTAATTTAAATTCATTTATATTTCATGTTTGGGAGTAATTTTGGCGTTATTTAGCTTGTAATCGTATGAAGTTGGAATTTGATGTAAACAAGTGGATGACGTCATCGCCGCACCGCTGCTGGGTATATAAGCAGCGAGCTGAGAGCGCTCAGCAGATTACAGCTAGCTTTCGTTCGGGACAGAGCTCCGTTTCAATTTCATATTTTTATGTGAAGTTGGACTTAGTCATTTTTCAAGGAAATATTTTTGGACTTTGACAATTTTCAGTAGAAAGTTGTTGGGACTTTGAATATTTCCCGAGGCAGATAGGAGATACATAGCTGCACTTCAGTTCAGTGGATGATAACTTGGACATCTACTTGTGATGAAGGATACCTGAGAGGGAAGACTGCTACACCGTGATTCTGTAGATGATAACTTGGCCATCTACCCGTGTATTTGTGTAGAGGATACCTCAAGAGGGAATATTCAGTACCGTGTTTGGAGGCAGCATCAAACCTATACTAGATTTCTGAGCTCTGTCAGTTCAATTTCATGAACACATGAAATTGGACTTTGCGTATTTTTGAGATAGAAATTATTGAACTTAGTCAATATTTGGAGAAACATTATTTTGGACTTTGTTTTTTTTGAGAATAAATATTGAACTTAGAATATTTCAATATTAGTATAACTCAACATTAACTGAACTTAGTTATTTTCAAGGGCACATATTTTGACTTGTAATATTTTTGCCTATGCTGTTGTGCGCATGTTATATTTTTAGGTAGGCTGATTACTTAATTGTGAAGGAAATTTGTGTACTTAGCAGTTGATGCCATATAAGACGTTCGTAAACTTTGTCAATTGCGATAGTTTGACTTTGATTATTTTATATAATTAAAGTTGAATTATCCTACAACACAGTGAGGAGGATCCAAGAGATAGCCATTTACAGAGCCGATAGTTTGACTTTGATTATTTCATATAATTAAAGTTGAATTATCCTACAACACAGTGAAGAGGATCCAAGAGATAGCCATTTACAGAGCCGATAGTTTGACTTTGATTATTTCATATAATTAAAGTTGAATTATCCTACAACACAGTGAGGAGGATCCAGGAGATAGCCATTTACAGAGCCGATAGTTTGACTTTGATTATTTCATATAATTAAAGTTGAATTATCCTACAACACAGTGAAGAGGATCCAAGAGATAGCCATTTACAGAGCCGATAGTTTGACTTTGATTATTTCATATAATTAAAGTTGAATTATCCTACAACACAGTGAAGAGGATCCAAGAGATAGCCATTTACAGAGCCGATAGTTTGACTTTGATTATTTCATATAATTAAAGTTGAATTATCCTACAACACAGTGAGGAGGATCCAGGAGATAGCCATTTACAGAGCCGATAGTTTGACTTTGATTATTTCATATAATTAAAGTTGAATTATCCTACAACACAGTGAAGAGGATCCAAGAGATAGCCATTTACAGAGCCGATAGTTTGACTTTGATTATTTCATATAATTAAAGTTGAATTATCCTACAACACATTGAGGAGGATCCAGGAGATAGCCATTTACAGAGCCGATAGTTTGACTTTGATTATTTCATATAATTAAAGTTGAATTATCCTACAACACAGTGAAGAGGATCCAGGAGATAGCCATTTACAGAGCCGATAGTTTGACTTTGATTATTTCATATAATTAAAGTTGAATTATCCTACAACACAGTGAAGAGGATCCAGGAGATAGCCATTTACAGAGCCGATAGTTTGACTTTGATTATTTCATATAATCAAAGTTGAATTATCCTATAACACAGTGACGAGGATCCAAGAGATAGCCATTTACAGAGCCGATAGTTTGACTTTGATTATTTTATATAATTAAAGTTGAATTATCCTACAACACAGTGAGGAGGATCCAAGAGATAGCCATTTACAGAGCCGATAGTTTGACTTTGATTATTTCATATAATTAAAGTTGAATTATCCTACAACACAGTGAAGAGGATCCAAGAGATAGCCATTTACAGAGCCGATAGTTTGACTTTGATTATTTCATATAATTAAAGTTGAATTATCCTACAACACATTGAGGAGGATCCAGGAGATAGCCATTTACAGAGCCGATAGTTTGACTTTGATTATTTCATATAATTAAAGTTGAATTATCCTACAACACAGTGAAGAGGATCCAGGAGATAGCCATTTACAGAGCCGATAGTTTGACTTTGATTATTTCATATAATTAAAGTTGAATTATCCTACAACACAGTGAAGAGGATCCAGGAGATAGCCATTTACAGAGCCGATAGTTTGACTTTGATTATTTCATATAATTAAAGTTGAATTATCCTACAACACAGTGAAGAGGATCCAAGAGATAGCCATTTACAGAGCCGATAGTTTGACTTTGATTATTTCATATAATTAAAGTTGAATTATCCTACAACACAGTGAAGAGGATCCAAGAGATAGCCATTTACAGAGCCGATAGTTTGACTTTGATTATTTCATATAATTAAAGTTGAATTATCCTACAACACAGTGAAGAGGATCCAGGAGATAGCCATTTACAGAGCCGATAGTTTGACTTTGATTATTTCATATAATTAAAGGTGAATTATCCTACAACACAGTGGAGGATACTACAACAACGTGAAGAGAATTAGTATTTTCATTGGAAGCAAGACACAAGACAGTTGCTGAGTTTACAGTGGATGGAACTGGATATCCCCTTCATCATCTTGGTCGTGGGTGGAATTTTATTTGTACTTTTATGTTTGATGTTAGTCATATGCTCCCAGGTGTGTATTAAGATTCAAGACGAAGAAGCGCCTGTTCCAGCAGTTCCAATACCCCCTACGCCAACCCCTGCTTTAAAATCCACACCAAGCTTCAGCATGAGTACTACGAATTTTGTGTAAAGTTGCTTCCCAAAATTAGGAGACAAGACTTTGTTACGCTCAGCTTACTATTCCAGGTTCAAGATACAATAACAATACAAGACGTACAAGTGGTACAATTTACATGAACTTTGCATATTCGGAATACAACAGTGTTATATAGTGATCATCAGTTTATATGGACTCTGGATATTATTTTATCAGTGATAATTATTATTAGCTCATATGGACTTTTGAGTTGTGAGTTTTAAGAGAAATAATAACACCGTAATATTCTTACATTACATTTGAAATTGCATGTACATCTTATTTGGGCTTATAAACGCCACAATATATTGTTTTGTATTATATATATATAAAATTATATATTCTGTTTATTTCTTTAGGGACAAAGCACATTTAACGTGTGCCGTGCAATCCACAAGTAAACACCGTTTACTAAACAGTGGTCTTTTTATTAGCCACACTACCACATATCCACAAAAAAGGCCAAACTGTTACACTGGTGGCAGCGGTGGGATTAATTGTCTGAAGATATAAGCCCGAGGTGCATTATACTGATTTAGGATGGATCCAGAGTCCAATCTTCCCTATCCAATGGATGATGAGGATATAGAGATTGAAGGGGAGACTACTGTATTCATGAAGACAAATCCAATGGAAATAAATAATCCGGGAGCTAATGATACAACTCAGCCATTGGACAAAGTTGGCGCCACATTTTCTGATGCATCAAAGGAGGCCCCTCTTGGTGCAGGCGCTAGATCAAAGGATCCAAAGGTGGATACTGAGAAAAGAGTTTTACCCAGCAATGTAACTACAGGGTATTGGTCTGGAGGAGGATTGACTAATCTAGAGACTCCAGCAAATCCCCTGGGATTGGATAAAAGGAATACTGCCAGACATTTTCCAATAACCTCTACTGTTATGAATCGGCCTTTGAAAAAGAGCCAGACAGAGGATATAGTGAAACAAGAGTTAACTATGGTGGAAGGTCAGTTGCGAGATCAGATGTCTGTTTTTGGGAATGTTACAGAGGCGCAACAGAAACAGTTGGATGATATTAAAGAGACCCAACAAATACAGACTCATAGTATGACTCTAATAGCAAAGCAAATGGAAGAGAACAGACATATGCAACAAATTAGAGAAGAGCAACAACAAATAAGCGAAGAAAGACAACAGGAAAGACAGGAGAAACAAGATCATCAGTTGCAGGCGATCCTGCAGCATATACAGAGTAC